GGCGGCGGCTTCATGTCGCGGATGAGGTTCGATGACTTACGCCCGTTGTTGACTGTCATTGTTGAACATTTTAAAAATACTGACCGCTCCAAGTTGACGGTTGGGTAACGGTTCGTGTTTGCATAGCTCCCGAGCTTGGACTTTCCGGAAACCGAACTCTTCACCACACCATTTGCAGTGGAAGGGCATCGTTCGCTTTCCGATCCGATGAAAGTCAAAACATTTTCCAATGAAAAATCAACAGGTCGTTTGAAATTCAGATTGATGAGATTCGTCATGCGACGGAGAAGACAAGGAAATGGACGACATTTTGCTGCAAGGATCCTCTAGTTTTGAATAATTTAAGAAACAAAAGACGATGGTTTTATGCAGAGAGGAACAAAAGTTTGTTGGAAAAGAAGAGGTCTGGTCGCTTCGAGGTAAGCGCGATTTAGAGAAACGGCGCGTAAGTGCCCATGAGAACTCGTGCGGCGATGCAAAATTTAAAGAATATTCAAACAATTAATTTTTTTAGAAGTTCGACAGTAAACTTGGAACGCATAGAAACAGTAAAATCTTACTTTTGAAATTTCGGAGGAAAAATCATGAGTCGAGGTTTCTTGTCGAATCTTGAGATGATTGTGTGGATCGCACACGCAGTCCCTGTTTAGTCGGTAAAATATCATGGAAAATGAAATTTCACTTGTCAGCAGGATGAATTTTCATTTTGGATCTTAGACTCGTTGGGAGATGCTTGGTGGTTCTTTTTCGCTGATCGGAACAAATTCACGTTTTGCAACGAGGAACCACAAACTCGTTCTAGTTAAATGAACGCGTTTCGAAGCGAACAGACCGAAGTTCACTCCTCGATTTTGAAAAAGGCAAATGCTGATAGAATTTTACTATGATAGTCCTAAAATCAGGGTTGCCACAGAATTTGTAAAATGAATTTATCTGACATTTCCCTGACAAATTCGGTAAAATTTCCTGACGATTGAAGTTATGCCAGATAATTAAAAAGACACAATTTAAAACAGTTTTTAGGCAATCTTGTTTTTCGAAACGCCGAGCTCATTTCAGAAAATAATTAAAGGTTACTCAACAATTTTTCCCTAACATTTCCGTCATTTTCCCTGACATTTCAAGATTTTCCCTGACTTTTCAAAATTCCCGGACATTTCCCGGTATTCCCTGACTTGGCAACCCTGCAAAATTGATCTCTGTGTGGTGAGACAGATGAAGATCCGTCGATATTGAGCTTGCAAAAAACAAATTTGCATGCACAGAAAATCACGATATGTACCGATAACCGACGCGTGTATTTTTTCGCCCTCCGAAAGAGGCTGCTTATGGGGTCAGCAAGGGTGCAGATCCCGAACTTCCCCACCCTCCCCCTCGCCCGGGTACTTTTCCACCCCTCCAACGTAAGAGTGTATCTCAATTTCCACGTGAGCCCTATTTTACATATAAATCCATACTTTCTAAGGATCATGCGGAAATTGAGATAGGCCCTAACGCCGGAGGAGCGGGGATTTTTCCGCAAATGTTTTCTCTCAAGCGGACTAATAAAGCACTGCGGCACGGAGGGCCTGCATACATTATAGGCCTTGGCTCAGCTAACATCCTCCCCCGAAACCGCCGCATCCCTCTCTCCAACCCCCACCGCAATTTACATCCCTTCTCTCTCTCTCTCTCTCTCTCTCTGCCAGGCCCGTCGCGAATGACGAACGACTGTTGCAAAACTTTGTTTTATTCATCGCTTTTTCAGTGCATCGTCCCTCACAGTCTCACATGAGATGCCGCACAGTGGATCGAGTCAATAAAAGAGGTCCGACATGAAATTTTTAAAGAAATAAAGATAGCCAAATCTAAAAAACTCAAACTCACGAAAATAAATTAAAATAAGGCGTGGTTTTTTTAGAGGAAAAATATCGCATTCGATACTGCCATGATATCGAAACTGGACTCGAATA